TGTCAAGTTTTAATTGTTTGTAAAATAAATTCTTACTTTTATAAACCTGACTGTTTCTTGAATCAAAGTGTGTACAGTCCCTTAATGAATAAAATAATCTTACAATCTTCTGACTAATTATCCTAAGACCAAGCAGGGAAAATTCTATATTTAGATAGAGTATCACAGCTTTTGGTCACAAGTGGTGTTAATAATAATAAATAGCTCTTAAAGCAATTTAAATAACCCAAGTATGATTTATTAACATTACACCAGTAGACCTGCAGTCTGAGAGCGAAGTGCTCGGTTAGGAACATATGGAACAATCAAATCACTGATGTATGATGGAGCTTGATTATTAAGAGCTTTATATGTGAGAAGAAGGATCTAAAAATCTATTCTGAATTTAACAGGTAGCCAATGAAGGGAAGCTAAGACAGAAGAGATATGATCTCTCTTTTTAAATCTCATCAGAACTCTAGCTGCAGCATTTTGGACAAGCTGAAGACTTTTAACTACATTCTGTGGACTTCCTGAGAGTAATGAATTACAGTAATCCAGTCTTGATGTAATAAATGCATGAACTAGTTTTTCAGCATCACTCCTGGAAAGGATGCTTCTAATCTTAGCAATATTCCGAAGGTGGAAAAAGGTGTAGCGTTATGAATGTCATAATTGTCTGCCCTTAACAACTGCCCCTTTACACAGTAACAACGTGTAGGAATCGCCAAGGTCGGGTGCTGGTTTCAGAATGCTTACATTCCAGGAGAAAAGCCAGAAGAACAGAAGAAAAACGCTTTTAATTAATCAAAGTACTTTATTTGTGATAAAGCTAGTCAAAACATATGTTGATCAATAATAATCAGGTGAATGATCTGTGAAATAAAGATATCATGATTTATGTGTTTAATGAATAAACAGGACTGCACCAAACAGACTGATCTACATTAACATGGAAACGCATGACACATTGTTCTCAACCAATCAGAACTTTCGTCTGTCGTAGGGCAGAATCTGGGTTGTTTAATGAAGTTGTCCAATCCGGTTTACTATGATTTGTAAACAACTAGGGGATATAAAACAAGGCAACGCCATTTTATCCTCAGTTCCATTTTAACCTCAGCTCTGTTCAATCTGAGTTCCTAAGGAGTTCCATCGTCATCGCTAAGAAAGGTGCAGGCTGGCCAGCTGCACTTTCCTACTTTAAGCTGAGAACTGTCAAGCTGGAGATTTCCGTCGTTTGAACAACAAGACAACGTTACTTCAAAATAAGAGCTGAACTCGCTGAAGCCTGGCGCTGCTACCGGGGGTTGATCTGCAGACGGGCTTTGTCGTGCTGCGACCGCTGTTCCACCAGCTCCAGTACACCTGAAGGTCCGAGGACCTGGCATTTCCTGATCTAACACGGGAGGCTCCAGACGGTACGTAGTCACGGCAAAATGGCTGCTCATGTCATCAGCTTCTGAAGCCTCGTGGTTCGTAGTCATAACAACCAGATCCGCCTACGTCAGCCTAGAGATTCTGAACACACACACACACACACACCAACACGATAACATTCTAATCCATATGCATCCATCACAGAGTTAGTCCTGGTAGATTGTAAGAATTTATAATTATAGAAATTAAAGATTCTTAAACGATCCCAACTCTCTCTTTTCTTGTCTCTCAGTCAATACAAAGTGTTTAAGTAAACTCCCTGATGATAAAAACAACCACTTCTGATTATAATATTTAGATCTAATTACAGAGTATAAATATACGATCCATATTTCACTACAAAGGAAACCCTACAAACCTGTTTAACCTGGGATTTGAATGACATGTCCTGGTCAAAGATAACACCAAGGTTCCTTACTTTGTTCTCGGAGATTAATGTAATGCCATTCAAGTCAGGTGATTGGCTAAGCAATTTCTCTTTCTGAATTTCAGGTCCAAAGATGAGAACTTCAGTCTTGTCTTGATTTAAAAGCAAAAAGTTTTGAGTCATCCAATTTTTTATGTCTTCAAGACAAGCCTGTAATCTACCCAACCGATTAGGTTCATCAGGGTTAATAGATAGATATAACTGCGTATCGTCAGCACAACAGTGGAAGTTTATCCCATGCTGTCTAATGATTTTACCAATTGGGAGCATATATATAGTAAAAAGAATTGGTCCAAGAACTAAACCCTGTGGTACTCCACAAGTAACACTGGAGTATGAAGATGATTTGTCATGTACATTTACAAAATGAAATCTGTCAGACAGGTAGGATTTAAACCAGCCTACACTGCTCCTTTGATCCCTACAACATGTTCAAGTCTTTCTTAAAGAACATAAAAGAACAAAGGCAGCACTGAGATCTAACAAGACTAGAACAGACACAAGATTCTTATCTGAGTTCTTGAGAATATCATTTTTAACTCTCACTAATGCAGTTTCAGTGCTGTGATACTCTCTAAAACCAGACTGAAATTCCTCAAACAGAGCATTAGTGTTTAAATGCTCACATGCTTGGATGGCCACTGTTTTCTCCAGGACTTTGGATAAAAATGGAAGGTTAGATATTGGTCTATAATTCATTGGGTCATCTGGATCCAGAGAAGGCTTCTTAAGTAATGGTTTGATTACAGCAACCTTAAAATCCTGTGGTACATATCCATTTACTAAGGATAGATTGATTATATCTAGAATGGGGGCAGTAACCAAAGGAAATGCTTCTTTAAATATGTCAACACCAAACCACATCCTGAGTGTGACTCATGTCCTTTTGCAGGCTGGAAGGATCCAGTCTGTATGAGTGGATCCTTCTAAATCCTCTTCTCATTGTAGCATTCCAGCTGGACTTTATCAGACGATGCACTCAATGATCATAACGGATGGACCATGGTGGGGTATTCCAACCCATTTATTCAAAAATTACCACAGACACATCGTAAGAGCTGTAATCATAACATAAACAAACAAGAAATTCAACATTCACTTCATATAACATGTTTCACCTTTGCTAAATCAACCAAAGAAAAGACATAGCATGTGCTATCATTAGCCTGCTAGTTCACTCAAAAACTCGTTAACAAATAGACCCTTTTACTGTTTGTAAACAATATGACGTCAGCGAGGAGAATGCGCGCGCAGCTTGGCAACAGAGAATGGCGTTGTGTCAGGCTTTATCAAGCTACGCTGCGGGGTTATCACCGGCAAATCTTGAATGTTATATTATTAAACTGACTTTAACGAATGGCAACAGACTCCCGGATCCCTGTGGCATTACGGAATGGGTGGAAGATGTAGGTGCGTGGCCAGATATCCAGTGGCCCGATATAAATACGTTTTTAGTGGAGAGGCCCAGTAAGTACACACGTGAGAAGCTACGGGCATACAAATCGTTAGATGCATACAACTATGTTGTCTGTGGCCACGTACAGAAAGTAAAATATCACGACATAGACTGAGTTTTGCATCTTGAAGGCAGAAGTCCTTCCTAGCCAAAGACAAGGACACAAGACCGCTATGTACGAGGCTTGGGTCATAGTAAACAAACCAGAGAACTACGTCTTCACAGCCAACTGTACCTGCATGGCAGGGTGAGTATAGCATAGGTTTCTTTTTTTAGCGTGCTCAGAGTACAATCGTGTTAATTTTAGAGAAATACAGTTTATACTAATATGCAGTGGGAAAATACAGACGAATTAGAATGAAATGTTAATTTGAAGCATGAAATAAAGCGTATAAATTTGTTTAATTCTGTCATTTTGATGTTCCAGACTTGGGTCATGCTGCAGCCACACAGCAGCAATTTTATTCAAAGTTGAGCTTTGTGTTAGGATGGGAAAAACAGAAAAGGCTGCAGTTACATCTGCATGTGCATGGAAAGACCTGAGCAGGAAAAATGTAGAACCAGCTCCACTGAATAGAGCACACGTTAACCAGCTTTCTGGTGTAATCTTAGTATGTAATTACCTTACCTGATATAAAATGGGCACTACAAACTCAAGCATCTCGGATCGTGTTTTCAGTCCAATTTTCATCAACCCTTTTGATGGCCTGCAGCCACAGACGCCTCCGATTTTGTTGAAATGGATGTGCTTCCTTCGGAATTCTGTAAAGTTTCAGTCCACTGCTTGAAGAGAAGCAATTCTGGCATCCATACACGTAACAACCCGACATTTTTATGTGCTCAGAACTTCAAAACAAAGGGTTTAAAACGCTGTTTTAGTATCGAGTGTGAATGAGGAAGCCTTCACTCTCGTTGCCAGGCTGCACGCGCACTTTTGATGATGTAGGTAGTAAAAGGGTCTATAAGTAATATATTTACAAATTTAAACAACAAGAAATCATTCATAAACATACCTGGCCGCCTTCCAGCTAGATGCTAAATTGAAGATGGATGGAAAACGTTAACCTTCTCCTTAACTTCCTTCTGGTAACCAAAACAAAATCCTTCCCGTCTAAATGTTAAAAGAGCACAAGTGTAGTTACCCGGAAGAGCAAACACATAACTGATTAGCTAACTGCCTAACCTGCTTCCATTAATAAGTTAAAAGAGCCGTATTTCTGCCGAATATAGCTTACAAGTCTGGCGCTTGGGTTTGAGAACAAGGTAACGAGCATTAACGTTGGCAGTTAGCATAGTGTGAGCCGTTTATTTAGTATTTACATGTAAATAATTTGACAAAGATCCGAAACCAGAAGTCAGCGTTCTGAACTTCAAAATAAGAGTAATGCAAACCCAAAAAACATGAATTACTCATGATATTAGAATCTAAACAATGTCTAAATAAACAAATAATCTGGGTTATTTACAGTCATACCCTCTAGTTCTGCTTTCATATGAAAATCTGCTGAGTCTCTGAAGTAACTGGCTGACCCCCCAGCTGAGATCTGAGTCTAACACATTTAATTTTGGGACATCAGTTACATGGCAGCTTCTTTAAAGATACCTGGCAACAGGCTGAATTAGCTCAAAATTACTGCTAGTTTTTTCACTTCTGCCCTGTTGCATAAGTCTGAGAATGAGACAGGTTTTTAGGGAGGGCTTTTATCAGCTAGATACAAGCTTTGCTGGCCTTAAATACAATGCGCAGCAGGTAAACGGCATAGAAGCACAGCTCGAGACTGAAGGTAAAAGGTGTCTTATTCTAACAGAATGTTTAGGTTCAAAAGCTATGTATGAATCTGTTAGTTGTCACTAAATCACTAAATGTGGATATAATGTAAGCAGATGAGAGCAAACAACATGGATTTTCACCCCACAGTTTGATGACTCTTGTTCTCCTTCGTAATTATGCTTTTCCTGAAGAAATGTATATTTGTATGAAGTTCTGAGAGGATTTATTGTTTCTCCTCTTCAGCTCCTGTGAAATCATGACCTCCGACTTGGCCCTCCTCCTGCTGGTTCTAAGCAGCGTCAGTACGGCTCGCTCTCAACTTAATCTGTCCAACCTGCATGCCAGTGACCTTCCGTCTGACATCTTTGGAACCACCGACGGTTATGTGAAGGTTTTCTGTGGTTCTGCCTCTTTGGGTAAAACGTCTGTACGTAAGGACACAGTGAATCCCTGGTGGTCGGAGAAGTTCACCCACTTCCAGGCTCAGGAGAATGACGTTCTGCGGCTTGAAGTCTTTGATGACGACTTACTCTTTGATGACTTGCTAGGAGTCTGCCAACGTCAAATCAAGTTGGGAACCCACCAACATGACTGTTACCTAAAAAAAGGTGGCATCCTGCACTACACCTACACCCTTGGCTAATGCACCAGATGACCTGTTACCGTGGCAACACTAACTCCCCACATTCATACTAACGTGATGCTCCACAATTCACTATTCTTTGTTTGAATAAAAAAGAATACCAAATTTCATTAAACACAAATTATGTCTATTTTTGTCCTTGACAAGAAAAATTAAAAACAAAACTGAAATCAAACTGTGTGTTTGCTTATTAAGACTCAAAATGTAAGAATCGTGTGAGCACATGGAGCTAAGAAAGGTTGATCTTTGTAGTTTTAGTGTCACAGAGTCAGGCCCAGGCCTTAATTTGAGTCCGATCTTGCCGAAACCAGGTGCAGGAACTGTCTATATTAAAAGGGCGTGTTCCGGTAACTGTTCACATCCAATATCTCTCACTGCCAATTTGTGTTTAACAAAGGTAAGCAAAGGTGTTTTTTCATCAGGGACTACTGATAATTGGGAGTTTTGTCCTCTACACTTTTGAACAAAATTGTTATTGAGAATTCAATTTCAGTTGAATTCATGTTTATTTATATAGCACCAAATCACATCAAGGGTCGTCCCAAGGCACTTCACTTAGTAAACGATCCAATACAGGTCAGGGGTCTCATTTATCAAACATTGCATAGAATCCTTACTGAAACCGTACTAAAGCGCAGCAAAAAAAGTTTACTTACGCCAAGCAGGTTTGTGATCTATCAAACATGGAGTACGCACAGCTGCACGCAATCTCCGCTTCATAAATCAGAGACGAATGAGAATGTTTCTCAGCTGCATTTTAGTCACATCCCGGCCTCACCACGCCCACTTACTGCCATAAATATTCAATGCTAAGTCACCTTTTCATCCAGGTGTTCCCTCCCTAATGTTTCAAAAAGATGGCTTTGTTCGGGTTCACACCTTCACTTTGTTTATACTCATGATTTTATTTTCTACGTTTATCACTGCTATTGTTTTTCTGATGTTTTTATTGGTTCGAGGTATTTGCCCTGATCTTTATCATGTTGTACAGCGCTTTGTGATTTATATCTGAGAAAGGCGCTCTATAAATAAACTTTTACTTACTTACTTGTGGATCTCATGCATATACATAAGCCAGCTACTGCTTGTCTCCTAACCAACATGACTCCTGTGACTTCCATCACTCTTGTCTCTTCATGACCTCCACTGGCTTCCTCTTCCTCAGTGCATCAAACTCAAAGTCCTCCATGACTGGCCCACTCCTACCTCTCTGTCCTGCTCTACCACACTGGTCCATCCCTTTCCCCCACAGGACCAAGCTCTGAACTTGGGGAGACTCAGCTTTCTCCATGCCCCCACTCTCCCACAACCCCTCCACAACACATGTTGGTCTTTCTTAGGATTAAAAGCGAGGAAAATAAAAATTATTTTATTAGTTACAATGATTAAATAGTATGATTAACTAATAGCCCAAATTGCTTTCATGAGTAAAATACATTTTCAAAATATAAACAAAGTGTCACGGCTGTTACCCGTTTGGGTTTTTTCCTGTGTGTGTGAGAGAGGAGATGCAGCACCTGGCTCCAATCTCACTAGATTGCCTCCCGGTTAGATTCTCTCAGCTGATCCTGATGACCAGCAGCATAAAAGTCAGCCAGCCCTCAGTTCAGGGAGGTTCTCTCTGGTCTGTTGTCTCCTCAGCAGCGTTTGGTTTTGTTAAGTTTTATGTAACAACTTTGGTGGGAGCTTAAAACTCTCTGTGTTTAACTGTTCGCCTTTTTAGGCAACCCCTTCCCTTGTTTTAAATAAGACACCACTCAGTAAAAGGGAAATTGTGATGGTATTTCGGTGTTTTGGAATTAATTTGGTTAATATGAGAACTTAGTTGTTACTCGTTTTGCTTTGCTGCTGATGTGTCTTGTTAATCTGTGTTTTGAGTTTATATTTATGTAAATAAATGTTGTTTTTGTTACTTTTACCACGAGAACATGCGTCCTCATTGTTACCCCAGGCCCCCTAGACAGCCTGGAGCGTAACACAGTGATATTAAGACAATTTTGGTGTGGTGATCCAAACACACGTAGCTCAGACCTCCTTCTCTCCTCATTCTCACTGACTGTCACGTTTACCAGAAGTTTCTTGAAAAGCAGCTTTTTTTTCTCCTCATAGTTTCTCCACTTGTCTGTTGTGTTTTCTCTCCATCTAGATCATGATAATAATGGTGCACCGAGCAACTGGGAGTGAGTGTATCATGATATCCCATCCCCGTGTCACTGAAGGAAATTCAGATGAGCCACAGAGCTGTGTGTGTTAGCCGGACGGTAGTTCAAACTCCCACTGAATTTATTTGCCAAATGCAAGAAGAGCCAAAGTGCCTGATGACTGCAGAATGTGGTAGCAAAGGGTCCTCACAAATGTCGCTAGGTTTCTTCCGTCCCTCCCTCTCCTGCTCTCCTGGAAACCCGACATCGGCTGTCAGAAGCGGGAGGTGAAGAAGGAGATGAGGCAAACAGAGTGAGTGCAACTTAAAGAAACCAGACTGGTGTGGAGGTGAGCAAAACAGCTGGAAAAGTGTGGGTGTTGAATCCCCCACGGGTGCGATGTCCATGCGAGCGACCGGTACCGGCTGCTGTCACCTGTTGTGAGCAGCTCTCTGCTGTCTGAGAGTAGGCCCCGCCCACAACGCTGCGGCTGCTGCGGTGTTTTCTTTACTGTGGGAAATGGGTAATAATGGCTTTTTGATGGGAACAGGTTGCCGACCCCTGGTATAAGATCTGAGCTGGTAAAACAAAAATCCTCATCAGCAGGCTTTTTTGAAAGTGGGGGGGGACACAGCTGCCAATCACAAATTTTGCCGGGGACATGTCCCCGGCGTCCCCGGTTAAAATGACGCCTATGAATCGAGTACTTGGACCAAGTTGGCCGACCTCCTGTGCGACTTTGCACTTGGCTCCAAGAGACTTTTTTGTAGGTCCTGAGACACTACATTAGTGTACCAAATTTCGTAATTCTCAGTCAAAGCTTGGCATGGGGCTGACAGTTTTAACTGTCCTAGGGGGCGCTATTTCAGAAAATAGGCAACACCCACAAACTTCAGCTGTCCATTTCTATTGGAGGTCAGACTAGGATCACTCTCTAGAAATTTCGTCAAATTCGACCCCGTTATGGCGTGTACTGATAAGATAACGAATGCCTTTGGTAACCTTTCGGAAGCGGGAGCCCGCTGGACTAGTACCCTGACGCATCATGCAGAAGCTGACATCTGTCACATACTGGTCCGGGGCTTAAATTCACGGTTTCGAACAGTGACCTTTCCAGTACCAGCATTAAGCCGAAGCGTTTCCTAGACGGAAATCAAATCAAATCAAAGATACTTTATTAATCCCAGAGGGAAATTAGAGTTTCAGTACACACAATTCAGAGATCAGACATACATGGGCAAGACACATGACAAGAATTGGTGACTGTGGTCATTTGCAACCCTGAGTTGCGCTACCTTAATAGAGATAAGAGGGTGTACATGAGGATTGGTTCAGGTGGAGGGAAAAAAAGGCACTTCAGAGTGACTCCTGGTCCTCCGCTGATTCTGTCGTGTTATTCACTGCATGCTTAAACCTTTGTCTGTTGTTGGGGTTGTTACTTTTCCTGTTCCGTCTTTTCTCCGCACAGATGACCTCTCTACGAGACTCGATCCGCAACGTCGGTGGCCGCCTATCTCGTGTCGGTTGTTCGCGAAGTGCCAGTTGTCCGCGACGCCCTGGCTGTCCAGATACCGCAACCTGCGCCGGTCGCTCCCGCACCTGTATCTCCTGTGTTCCCGGCTGGGTCTTCTACTTCAAAAGGGGAGTGATCCCTATTGCCCAGACTTGTCAGTCCCATGGTACCCTGTTTCAGGTTACACAAGTTTGTTGTTTTTGTGTGTGCATGGTTGTCTTTCCTGTTTATACATGGCGTGCAGACTTGGGTGATTTGAGATGGTAATGCTGTGGGTTCCTGAAGTCAGGTAATGAGTAAGTTTTAACAGTATAAGTCTTTATTCCACATACTGTTGTGTTATCCAAAATTGTTTTTCCATCCGTCCATTTTCTGAACCCGCTTTGTCCACACAGGGTCGCGGGGGGTGGGGGGGCTGGTGCCTATGTCCAGCGGTCAACGGGCAATCAGGCGGGGTACACCCTGGACAGAGAGCCAGTCCATCGCAAGGCACCAAATTTGTTTTAATTTTCACTAATCTTAATTTCTTATGGTTGATTACTAACTTCACTGATTTACATTTTAGTACTCTTTGTCACTCATACATCTACTCTTATTTTATTTACAGTTGATTGAGTTTTGATAACTTTTTGATTAACTTGTTGATTTATCAGTTATGGGCTACAACCATTTTTGCCCTCATTTTGATAACATTTTTGCTTAGTGGCGTGATTTTCCCTTACATATATTATAGGGTTTTGTTATTTTGCTCTTTTACATCACTTTTTCCAGTACACGTAGAGTATTGCATCCATTTCTTCACTCGGGCTCTGTTCACATAATTGCTTCACATAGTACATACAGGTACACTTATTGACAGGTTTCTTTTTATTTGATGATTTGCATCAAACACCATTTGTGTCTACAATGAGGTGCCCTGTGTTTATCAATCAATCAATCAATCAAAGCTTTATTTATAAAGCGCCTTCCGCAACCCTGTCAGGAAGCCCAAAGCGCCGAACATGGTACAGTTGTAAGTAATTATACTGAATAAATCAACAATAAAAGAAATTCAAATTACAAAATACAAATTACAAACTACAAAATGGAAATTACAAGATAGATTAAACATTCCGGTAAAATACAAATGTGTGAAACACAATTGGATTGAGTGGATGGATTGAGTGTACCAATGAAAACTGTGGAATGGATTCAACATAATAGAGGGCCATAATCAAACATGTTCTGGAAACGCCAAGCGGAGGAGGTGTGTTTTTAGGTGATTCTTAAAGACTGGCAGAGAAGGGGACAGCCTAACTGAGGGTGGCAACTGGGTTTATGTGTTTATTTATTTCGCAGATGCTTTTATCCAAAGCGACTTACAATTTATAACCTATAGGGCATGTTGTGATCTGTGGGGGAAACCGGAGTACCCGGAGGAAACCCACGCACGCATGGGGAGAACACGCAACTCCACGCAGAAAGGCCACAGCCGAGGTTTGAACCTGCGACCTTCATGATGCGAGGCAACAGTGCTGACCA